AGAATTCAAACAGCTTCGTTCCTTCTGTGCCTCTTATTTTTTTAAAAATGCCATCAGTAAATATGTTTTTAAAAATAAACATGTTTGGAAAAACAATCTCAGCATTTCCTGCATGCCTCCTTCTAATAATCCTTTTATCTATTTTAGAGAGATAAGAGTTCTGTTTAGTTGTAGGAGAACCTCCTTCCTGTACTAACTAGAGATAAGACAAAACATTTCTCTTGCCTAAGTTTGGACTTGATTCTGATAATTATGAGCTCTTAGTGAGTGGAGGGGGGCAGTGTTCTTCAACACAGTGGTATCCAGATATGCTGAGCTGCAGGTAGGAGGAAATTTTCCTAGAGATTTCACTCTGGACTCATAATGTGGGCCAGCTTTCTGCAACCAGGTGCCCACTAGATAAGCTGGAATTCACTCCCAGACTTCCTCAGCCAAGTCTTGCTGTGGGAACAAAAGGGGACAGATACAACTGGTAAGAAGATAGGGAACATCAGAGTGGGGAACAGCAAACAACACAAAACTGTTTAAACAAATAGACTCTTTCAAATAATTAAACTCCTCCAATAGCATATTTAAAAATTGCATGCAAGAACTGGGAGAATTCTCCAGATTCAGGTAAGCCTGTTTTATCTGCTCACATGTTTCACAGCAGTGTACAGAGAACAGATTCAAATTTCCAGTTGAAACTCTGCAAGCTAGCCTGCAGGAGGGCTTAAAGTTGGAGGGTGGACGCATAAGACCCTCCTTCAGCATCCCCACCCCCTCTGAACTCACCCCATGTTGAACTTGAAGGGTCTACTCCACAGTTGTTTGGCCTCTGCAGAAGCAGCACTGACTGTGTAAAGATTTGGAAAAGATAGCTGGAAGGGTAACTATCTCTTAGGGTGGAATCTAATGCATATGTTCCCCAGTCTGGCTGAGGAACACTGGGAATTCTAAGGGCTTTTTTCTATTGAAAAGTTCACAGTGGTGTACTTCTCATTTTTAATGTCCCCAAGTAAGACAGACATAGAACAAGTCCATTCCGTAAACTAGGTAATTATAACACTAGGGCTCCTTGAACATCCTTTTCTGGAAAGATAACCCGAGAAGATGGACTGCTTATAAAATGTGATTGAGCGTGTCCAGCCATACTTGCTATGGAAAATATTAATTACAACTTTCAAAGTGTCAGATGCCTGAGTTTGCATCTGCACTTGGCGTTTGCTTATTGTAAAGAACTTAGGAAATAGGAAGCACTTTTAATTGTTTATTTGTCAACCCGTTTATTGAGGGGATGTTGCTAATTTTCCTGTTTTTAACCGAAGTGGAACCAGGCTGTGTCACAATAGCAGAACAGGCTATGACTGGATTGTGTATAGAACCCAATGGTTATTTTCTGCTTTATAATTTTCTGGAAATTTCCCAAAAGCTTCTGGGTACAATTATACAGATTCTTGGTTTCTTAACTCCAGTCCCCCACCCCCTGCAGAAGGAAGAGGAAGGTATTGCACATGCCAAGTCACAGTTTTTCCAGACGCTATGCTGATTCATGTGTATCTTCAGCCATCTGCCACTGTAACTGCCATGATTCCCAGTTAGGATCTTCCCTGTGGGGCTGAAGTCCACATCATCTGGAAGTCCCAAGAGGTTGTGAAGCTGTGTAAGGCTTGTGATAGGGAAATGAGACAAGTGTTCTTAATTTGCATGTTGCACTGGGGCTTATTCCCAGGTTTGCCCATGCCTTCACCTGATTATGGGATTCTAGTTACTTTGTTGTGGAATCTGTTTGCCTTTGTTTTTTTGTTCTAGTACTTCCTTGTGTGTTTGAAAGGTTCTTCAGGAAACTGTTAAAGTTGGGTTTAAAGATGCTTTTCCTCCTCTGGCTTTGGAATAAAAACCTGGATAAACAAAGTGATGAATAAGGATGCAATCCTATGTGATTTTAGTCAGAAAAAGTCCAGGCTGGGGTATGCTTTTTGGAGGACTTTTTCCTGTTTAAATATGCATGGGATTGCACTTTAAGAAAACGTGGTAATTCTGGAGCGGATGGTCTTGAATAGAAGGGATGTGAGCTCTGCATCATACAATATTTGGTCACAGTTCTTAAACGTGCTATTTTTGGCAGACCTCTTCTCCTCTTGCCACTCCTTTTGCTTTTTCCCTCCCTTATCTGTCTATTTCTAATTATGGAGAAGGCCATAGCTACTGATTTGTTACATGATGAAAAACATTAGGGTGGCATATGTAAAAGCTGGGTTTCTTTTTAAGTTCTGTGCCTCCAAAATCAAGCAGTTGAAAAATGTTCATGGCAGAGGTTTTCCCCACGAGCTGCTTCACCACCTAGAACAGTCTTTCAGGTCAATCACTGAAACAATAGCACATCACTGAAATAGAAAGCCCTGCTTATCACAACTCCCACACAGATGGTTGCGAGGCTCATCTGTGTGGACAGAAAGTAACCCAGAAAAAGCTCCAGCAAGGGCGGGCAAACAGAATAGCTTTCGATTTAAGAAATGAAAGAGGATTTGCAGCCAGGGGAGTGGGGAATTTATATTGAATATTGTGGGCCAAAGCAAGTGCCCAACTGAGCATGTCTCCAACTGGACCTTTATTTTATTTCTGGACTGCCCAATAGCCAAAGCTGTATGCGTGACTCAAAACAATTAATCCTTTAAAAAAATTCCATCACCCTCTGCATTGCTAGGCTGTTTGTGGATGATGGGAGTTGTAATTCCACATATTTGGAAGCTGCCAAGTTGAAGTAGATGGCACAAAACCTTTCAGTGTTGATCAGGGAGGATATGAAGGGGAGTAGATCTGTAAACGACCTATTAGATCCCCTTTCAGCCTGCTGTGCTGATCTCTTTCTCCCCCACCACCCCCATGCTCCACACCAAGCTTTATTCTGCTGTTGATCAAGCACTTCTTCCTCCCTCACACCCGCAAATCCTAGTTTTTTGAGGGCCTGTTTCACAAAAAGGGCTTCCTGCAAGATGTCAAAGCAGGATGGGGAACAACATCGATCACACAAACCAGTCCCTTGTTTCTGATCTTGGTAGCAACCTCCTCCCTGCAGCAGTTTGCAGAGAGCTCAGCAACGCTGCTGCTGTGAAGGAAGCGTGAGTGCAGCTGTATGAAAATTTTCTCACCTGTATAAAAGCGATCTCCTGTTCTGCATGATAGGCCGGACAGACATACCAGTGTGTTCTTGTGAGCACACGTGGAGTGACAGGTATCAATTGCCCCTTTCTAAAACACTGTGTTCTCAACAAAGGCTAATTTTACTGCAAGGGGAGACCAAGTGAAAAGGTTACCTTTAAACTCCTTGTGCCCAGCTTTCTGCAGTCTATACAGCAGGGCCTTTCTGAAGATGATAAATGGCTTTTACTGAATAGTAGCTGGAGAGATCATCTTGCAAGGATCAAAGCCAGACAGTTTCTGTTTGAAGGCAAAGGCAAGAAAAGATTAAATCTAGAAATGCAGCAGGACAAGCAGAGACAAAAGGCAAGCTGCTAGGCTGCTTCCAGCGGCCGGGGGGGGGGGGGTCTTGGGCAAGGCACACACACACATGGGAATCTGCCTCTTCGTTGCTGCCACTTCAGCAGCCCCTCCTCTTCCTCTGCATCCGTGCCACTTACTGGCAGGCCAGTCTGAGAACCATCATGTTTGATATTGCAAAGACAACTGGGCAGATCCTTGATCCTTCCTGCAAATCTCACAGCTTTGGAAGAGAAGCATAGCTACTTGAGAATTCTGCCCTTTGAGAGTCTTCTTTGTCTTTAATTGCTGCAAGAGGTGGAGCTTAGAAGTTCATTTACTTGCTGGAGTGGAAGAAGCATGGAAAGAATGGGATTTTTATTTCCTCCTTTCTCTGCTTTGATATTGTTTTCTCCTCCTTATAGATTCTTTTCACTGAAGGTAATGTATTTAGGATGCTGCAGGGAAGAAGTGGCCTTTAAGCAGAGATAGGCAACCTGTGACTCCCCCAACCCCCGATGTTGTGGCCTACAACTCCCAGCTGTCCTGGCTAGCATAGCCAATGGCAAGGCGCAATAGGAGTTGGATGCCAGCACACTGAGAGGGCCACAAGTTCCCACCCGTGCTTTAAAGGCTCATGAGGGGAAAGCCAGCTAAGACTTGGGACACTGCCTCCCACCAGACCCGGAACCCCTCGCCTTGCCATTTCACAACCCGGTACTTTCCCCTGCCTGGCCCAGCATTGGCTCAGCCTACTTGCTCATACCACCTTCAGGCAGCAGAATTTAGTCAGCTTCCCCACCCACACCGTTCTCTGGTAAAGCCCAGTCATAACAAGTCGGGTTGGAAAGAGCACTTGCCTCAGACACAGGATTGTATGGGGCAGGCGCCCAATGCCTCATTCTTCCACTTGTGATCCGGCTGTGTTTGTCCACTGCCAGTAGTTTTTCTTACCACAGAAGAGCTGTCCAGGAGGGAAAGCAAAATGAACAGCTGCAGTGTGTCTTTGGATATGCCAGGAGTCTGGGAATGATCCTCAAACTTGGTTAAGTCAGAATGGAGTTCGTGTTGCAACATCTTGGCCATTCTTGCAGTTTCTTTTTCTACCCAGTGGTGTTTAGGTGCCTCTCTGTAACACTGGGACAGGCTGCATTGCAGTGCTAAAGCAAGCAGGCAGGCAGGGAAGTCTTCCCATCAGTGGCTTCTGCATGCACAGTGGGGAATCTCCATGCACAGAGACACGGGGCAGGGGCCATGGCCCAGTGACAGGCCTCATGCTCAATCTCTGACATCTCCAGGTAGGGCTGCAAAACACTCCTGGCTGGTACAACACAATTTTCTGGGTTCCTAGATTTGGCCTTTTGTCCATGAGAATGTTGTGAAATGGAGCAGCGTACCCATATGCAAGCGATGCGTTACGGGTTCTGAAATCTTGGCGACTGATTCCTGCTCTCCAGAATGCATCAGTCTGTTAACTTGGATGCCTGCAGTTAACCTGAGCTGTTTCTTGAGTGACTCACAGAGCTGCAGTCCTGGAATTCCATGAAGGGATGCTGTGCACCAAAAGAAAAGTAGGAACAATTGAAAGGTGGAGACAGAAGGGAAAAGGGAGCTGGGAGTTGCCCCAGTGTTTTACTAAGAACAAATGCGAAGAAGTCTGAATTCTGTGGATGCCGAAAACGGAGACGGTGCTAGTGTGTCCCACTGCTGAATGCTTGCATGGGTATGTATATGTGGGGATGCAATACAGGGAAAATGTTTGAGGTTGGACAGGGCAAAGGAAAAATATGGGGAATGATCAGAGAGCAATATTTGCAGTCTGAAAACAGCTTCCTTTTCTTTCTTCCTGTGAATCAGCAGGTGGAGAGGAGCATCTGAGACCGGACAAAGAAAGAGGAATCCTTGGCTGACAGCTTGTGGCTGGAGCATCCTTTGCCTCGGTACCCTATTTTTGGATGGATGGTTTGGCATTGCACTCAGAAAAGCTCTTCTAGTTGGCAGCTATGAAAAGAAGACAGGATGGAATATAGAACTGAGAGAGCTACCACTGGACTGGCATGAAGCTGTCCTCTTCCTACCAGGCAGTATTGTAAAGGTCCAGTTTGAAAGTCTGTGGTACTGCTAATACGTCATTGGATTAGATAGAAGACATAATTTGGTATGACTAAAAAGGTAGAATCTTCCCCCACCCACCCCTTCTTCCTTTGGTTAATAAAATATTATCTATTCTTTTAAAATGGTAGCTTTTGTTTGTTTGAGTTTGTCAAAATGGAACATTTTAATGGCTTACAAGCATATTTTGTCAGGTAAACCCCTTCTCTCAGTTGCATTGGAAAGCACTTGTAGCTCATGATCCTGCCCTCTCCTGCGTAGAGTTTTAAAGAGAGAATGGGGCTTCTTCCCCGATTCCCATCCAGTCTTTCTCTCCACTCAGTGCAAGTCACCGAAGCTCAATAATTTGCAACCAGGTAGAGCAGTGCTCTTTCTTCAAGTGAGAGGTTGCAGTGGGAAGACAGCAAGAGAAAAATGGTAAGAATAAAATTAAAAGTTCAAAGAACAGGCACAGTTATAGCCAGCGTCAGTTGAACTTAAGCCCTAGAGTGGTACAGTGGTAAAGAATGCCAGACTAAGGACATCTGGACTCTAGTCCTCACTCAGCCATGACGCTCAGTGGGTGACTTCAGGCCAGTCAATCATTCCCAGTCCATTCCCTATTACAAGGAGTTGCTTATAAGCTGCCTTGGTTTCCTTGCAAAGGGAAAAAGGCAGGAAATAAATTTAATAATACTAACACCAATAATAATAATTTCAGTGGGTCTGCTCCAAGTATGATTGGCATAGGAAAGAAGCTGCAGTAGGATATGAAGCAGAGAAACAATCTAACCAGAGCTAAGAATTTTAAGTCCCACTACACCCTAGGATAATGCCTTCATTTGTTGTTCTTCTGTGCCATCTAATTATCTCTAGCTTATGGTGACCCTATGAATAAAAGCCCTCCAAAATATCCTGTCCGTGACAATCCTGCTCAGCAATTCCAAGTTCAGAGCTTTGGCTTCCTTTATGAAGTCCATCCGTCTCATATTTGGTCTTCTGCCTTCAACTTTCCACAGCACGACTGTCGTCTTCAGGACGTGTTTCCTTCTTCCCTTCCCTTCTTATGATGTCCCCCAAGTATGACAGTTTCAATTCTGACATTTTTGCTTCCTGAGAAAGTTCTGCCTTGATTTGATCTAAGATCTTCTTCAGTTTTTTTTTTTTTGGCTTTCCTCTCCCTTATTGAACCATGTTATGCAAACTCTTTCACAATTGCAGTGTCTCCATTATTGAGAGTAGTTGTAGTTGTCATGACTTCCATTTTCTTAATGTTCACCTGCTGTCCTGCTTTTGCCGTTCTTCTTGTGCTTTCAATTCATTGCTGCTTCTTGCCAGTAAATTGGTATATTCTGCATATCTTAAATTATTGATGTATCTTCTGCCAATTTTCATGCCTTCCCCTGATCCTAGTCCAGGTTTTGCATAAACATTGAACAGATAGGGAGATAGAATGCATATCCCTAGTATATATAAAATAGGGAAATAAAATACTTTTTGCCTACAAGAAACCATTCTGCTTCTCTGTGTTCTGTCCTAACTAACTTCTTGTCCACGATACTGATTACACATATGAACTATCAAGTGCTGAGGTACACCTGTTTCTTTCAGGACCATCAATAGCTTCTCATGGTCCACATAGTCAAAGGCTGTAGTCTATAAAACATAGACTGATCTATTTCTGAGATTCTTTGGTGCATGCTAGTAGCCCCTATATTTTTTGATAGGATCTTGAGTATCTCTTCCTTGCTGGAATCCCAACTTGCACATCAGGTATTTCTAATTCCATTTAGGGTTAAATTCTTTGCTGCGACACCTTGAGCATCACTTTGCTTGCATGTGAAATTAGTGTGAGGATCCTATGGTTGTTGCACTGTTCTGCATCTCCTTTCTTGGGGATTGAGGGGTATATTGAATGTTTCCAGTCTGTAGGTCTTTGTTTGTTTCCATCTTTATTGCCAGATTCTTGTTGCATTTTGGACTGGTTCAGTCTCTGTGGCTTGGAATAGTTCTGCTGGAGTCCTCGATGCCCTGGGAGCTTTACTTCTTCCTAGTGCTTTCACAGCAGCTTTCACTTCGCTTCCAGTCCTCTTCCTCCTAGGATTTCTTTCTGAAGGACTCTGTCATCCTTTCATCTCTTCTGTAGAGTTCTTCCATATATGCTTTCTGCCATCTGGCTATTTTATTCTGTCAAATAGCATGTTCCTTCGTTTGTCATCCAGCATTCCTAATACAGCTTTGAATTGCTCTTCGCTTTTATTTATTTATTGTTGGCTCTTCTGGAAGAGATCTCTTGCTTTTCCTGCATTATAATACCTTTATTAGGACCAGCCAACACATCTCAGCCATAAGCACACTTTTGAGTTCTCCAGAATGCCTTTTCAAAACTGAAAGCGGAGGGAGGAAGAGAGGTCAGAGTCACAAAATCTGTAGTCTGAAGCTGCTGCATTCTGCTTAGTGCTTGAAACAGAACTAAGAGCATCGTTCCTACAGTCCCTTGACATTGTCTGGAGGGTTTTGGAGCCCAGGTTCAGAAGGCCAAGCCCCTCTGCAGCTTGCATAGAAAGATCCACTCTGGCTGCCTCTCCAAGGACACCCCTGGACCTTGGAGAGGCTGAAAAGGGGTGTGCTGCATACTCCAGTGTAGACACCCCAGCCTTCTTCCCTCTCTGACACTTAATCTAGACATCTAGATAAAATATGTGATGCAAGGCAGGGCGCTGGTGATTGCTGCTTCCAAATACATTGAAATGCACCCAAGCCTCTAAGTCCAAAGATCTCCAGAAACAGGGTCTTAGATCTGAAAGAAGGTCTTAGATTGTGCCCTTCAGAACTGATACATTTTATATTGAGGATTTCTGCCTTGAGGAGTCCAAATCCTCTCTTTGCTTTAATTTCTTGTCCTGTAGTTCAATTTTACATGAGTTTTAGAGTGGGGGAACAGATGCACAAAAGCCCACAGTGAATCTGATACCTCCTTACAAAGAACCTGCTTGCTTCTCTTCAGTCTCTAGCAAAATATTAACTCCACCTCAGTAAAAAAAGGATGTGCAAATACTTGACCTCTGAAGAAAGGTCATGCAGTGGAAATGCATCACAGATTCCTGAAGGGAACTGCCAGGTTGGCTAATCCAAGGTCTAGCCTCGAACAGAACACCCTAACCTGTTAAATCTCATTGCGTAAGGGTTTTAAAAAAATATTTATTAAATTCTGTGGGAAGTTCTGTGATTTCTGTAGATTATTCAGGCTGAGCCAGTTTGTGGAATTTTCTGATTTTGCATAATGTATTCTGCATTTTGCATTATTAAGGCTGGATTTACAAGCTCTGGAGGAAAGGACATTTTCATTCTTTGATGTACTAATAACCTGCTGAACTAGGGGACAGCCTGTGAGAAAAAAAGAGCAGTTGGGTCTACAATGAATACAGTGTACAAACACTTGATCCAGGTGGGGGTTGGAGACTTCTCAAATTCTAATTCTGGACTACCGATGTTCTTTCCATGAACCTCATAATGAGTGCCAAAATGCATTTTAAAAACTGGCAATGTGTTGCAGGATTACAGAATATCTTCCAGCAGCAGATAAGCAGCAGCATCTGCAGTGGGATGCGAGTCCAGCTGCAGTTGAACTGGCTGGAAATTTCTTTGGATGCATCTGGGAATACACTTTCCAACCAGAGCCATCAGCTGCTTGCTTGCAACTGAGCTGGACCAAGGACCAGCAGACAAGCTTGTTGGCACTCCCGAGGAATGGTAAAGCACAGAGAAAGAAAATGTCACTTTTCTTAAATTTCTATTGTATTTCAATGTATTTTATCATGTTGTAAGCCGCCCCGAGGTTTCGGCAAGGGGCGGCATAGAAATGTTATAATAATAATAATAATAATTTTGCCCAGGCTTGGAATCTTTCAGGATTCTTGTGCCCTGGCAGTCTGAGTGGAGATGGTGGAGGTGATCCTGGAAGCAGCAGCTCAGTATAAACTGCAGGAAAAAGGCAGGATATTGAATGAATGAATGAATGAATGAATTCCTGGCCTTTGTGGATCCCCTTCCCACCATCACCCACCAAGACTTCTCTTTCTTCTTCAAGTTTGGTTTTCATTATTTTGTGAAAAAATTCACTGGGGATTGGATCTTTGATTCCCCTTCCAAGGTGAGAACATGATCTCTGACCTTGGAAGGGATTCTAAGAGCCATGCTGAGGTCCTGGGGACCTCATTTGCCCAGGAACTATTGATTTGTTCTTCCAGACTGTTCCTGTGCAGTCATACAATATTTCATTGTTATACTGATCAATCTTCTATTTATTGTAAGCTCCCTTTTCCTCTGATACATGTTGGGGTTCCCATTTTTTCTTTCCAGATTTTTTTCTTGTTCCTTATGTATCTGAGAACATTTTTAATAAAGGTTTTTTTGTTCTGTTTTGTTGTGTTTTAATTTAAAGTTTGTTTTTGCTTTGTGTTTTGTTTTTAATCTGGATGTTATCATTCTGCCATTTTTGTCAAAACTGGGATATAAATTAAATCAATGAGCAATAAACTTATGCATGTGTTCATCTTTTATGAAAAAATAGATACTGTTCTAAACAATCTTAGTCCCAAAATGCTTTATGATAAGCAACCAATAAAACAGGTAGCATTAACAGATGCATATCTGTTTAGCTGTTAATCCTATTGAGTTCAATGGGGCTTATCCCTGGGTAAGTATGGAAAGGAATGTTGCCTAAAATCCCACTTGGAGGGCAATCTAACATATGCTTACTCAGAAGTAAGCCCCACTATTTATTTATTTAAAACTTATATGCCGTCCCTTATGCATGGCATCTCGAGACAGCTGGAAGAGACGCTCCAGCTCATGTACTCACTATGTCCACCTGTAAGCAAGTGCCACGAAAGTCCATGAAGCATCTGAGAACTGTACAACCAGAAGGGGATTTCTACAGAACTGAAAATAATTATCTTATTCTGCTGAAATCCCCTTTTTGTAGTGCAGGGTAAGGACTGCGTCTTATGGTTAGCAAGCACATTGGAAAGTCCCGAGTTCTGTCTTTTTTTGCATCTCCAGTTAAAGAAATCAGAGAGCTGCTTGAAATAATGAGATCAAACATGTAAAACGCCTTAAAAATACCTTGGAGTTAACTTTAAATGTAATATTGAGACCAGAGAGGTCTTTGCTACTTATGAAAAATGCTCTGATGCTCACCTAATTTTACATCTTTCCATCTGTACAGGTGGCATTAATTTAAATGACACATGTTCTTTTCTTTTTTCACATCTTTTCTAATGCAGCTCAGGGAGACTTATTCCAAGAGCAGCTTTGCTTGCTTTACCAGAGAGAACTTTTTCCTAGAAGACCTGGATCCAAATTACAATGAAGACAGTGACCCCTGCTGGCAAGTCAAGTGGCAGCTCTCCAGGTTAATTAAAAAGGTACATATTTCCAAAAAGGGTAGACCCCGCTTGCAAGAATCTCAGTTCATTCCTTGGTCTACAATAGTTTCCCCCAGATGTGTTGAATTACAGCTCCTCTGTCTCCAGTCAGCATGGCTAATGATGGGAGTTATAGTCCAAAATACCTGGATAATGCTACTTTACAGGATTTTGATGTTTTATTAGATGAACAATTAAGGGTGCAATTCATTAAAGCTGCTTGCAGTGCCTCAGACTCAGGATTATGGGTGTCCTGTGCAGGACTGGAGGAGAAGGGACCCACTGGATCCATTGTGAAAAGCTGCTTTTGTGACCCCAGAGAAACAGCTGGCACCCCATTCTTTCTGCACTGGCTGTGATGGGTGAAAGAATGGTGTGCTGATATTTCACTCTCTGGATTCACCTGTAAGGTGAATCTTACGCATGTTTAGACAGTCCATGGTCCCCCAGAGCCCAGAGCTGGCTGGGGAATTAATTCTAGGAGTTGGACAAGTTTTCTGTCTCAACTTGCCTGAGATTACACTCAACACAGTTTGTGAAGTGTATGCCCAGACATCTGAAATACCAAAGGAAGGAACAGGGTTTCCCAGGGTGCCATGTGGCCAAGTAAAGGGTGTGAATAACGTTTTGGCTCTGCAGAATGGCCTTAAATGTAATGGCAGGCATGGGGAAAGGGTGTAATCTTTTCTTTTAACTAATTAGGAATAGCCACTATCTTCTGTTTCTGTAAATAGATAATACTATGCCTGTTACCCACTTTGAGAAACTGTCAGATCTTTTAATACATTGTGCCAGTTTGTGCATCAGAAAGAAAGAAGTAAAGACAGGATGGTGTGGCAGAGAGAGAGAAATAAAGAGAGAACGAGACAAGGCCAGGTTTCGCAATTCCCCTATTGTCTGTGACCCACAGTTGATCCTCCACCCCAAAATTTCACTGATGGTTTGTATCAGTACTATCTTCCTAAAGCCAACCAAAGCAGTTTACAAAGATTTGCAGAAACAAACACTACAGTCAAATTAAGAACATTGTAAAACATTAAAATCAAATGTTAAAAGTTATAACAATTAAAAGGTAAGCCAAATTAAAAAGATGTCTCTTGACCAGCTTTCCTGGGAGCAGAATCTTTGCAATTCCAAAGGACGGGGAAAGAGCTTTCCAGACTGCATTCTAAAAAAATATGGCCTCAGCCTAAACGGTTTTTCAGCCCATGCAGTAAAATAAGGCCCAGCTGTCTCACTGCATTGGGAAGCTAGCAGCATTCAGAAGTGCTTGTCCCTTCCCTTGCAAAGCAGAGCTTTCTCAGACCTGCTTTGCCTACTATATTTTTGTAATCCAGGTGGTCCACTGAAATGTTTTAAAGTCTAACCAGTTAAGGTGTAGCAAATCTGTATTAAGTGGTCCGACGTGCAGTCTAGCTTAAGGAGTGATATCCCATCAACTCCAGCATTTGCGACCAGAATTCCGGCAACTTGCAGGTGTAAAGAGTCCCATCTTAAGCTGGCGAACCTCCTCCATACTTGCAGCACAGGAGTTCTTCAAAGCAGCCTGCAGAACCAATTTTCAGATGCATTTCCCTCCATAGTCCTAATTTTTCAGGAGAGAGAGGCTGACTAGTTCCATTTCTGATTGCAGATGGTGGACAGGAACCGTGTAAAAGAGGAAAACTCAGGACAGCAAGGTAATGACTGAAATCCACATTTAATAACTTTACTGGGGAAAAGAGGCTCCTGGAGCAGCCTGCTGATGAGCATGCGCCTGTGCTGACAGACACACCAAGGAAGGGACTAAGACGAAGCTGCGGGGAAAGCCAGTGTGGCGTGATCGGGATCTGAAACCTTGACCCAGCTCCTTTGGTGACAAGCAGCATAGGCAGACCTGCTCCGGAAACTTTTTTTTAATCTGAAGAGCAGAATGCAACCTGCTTTCAGTTGAATCTGTAGTTCATTCTGACATAAGGTTTGTTTGTGCCTCATGTGTCTCGTGGATGAAACGTTCTGCGGAATCAGGTCATTAGTTTTTTCTAGCTCAAGGCCTCAATAGTTGCTCTGATTAGCAGTTACTCTCTCCATGGTCTTTCCCATCACCTGCTATTGATTTGTGTTTAAAAATGGTGATGCCATGAAATGACCAGTGAGGACCTTCTGCCAATGAAGACTATCCTGTCAGCATCACAGGAGTTTAGTTGTGATCCTAGTTAAATATTGCCTTCCTTTGCACCCAGGTGGTGGCGCGGCAGTGGAAAAAGACGCATCTGAAATTGCTGCACCCAGAGTTGCGGCTCATGTGACTGCAAACAGGAACAGAAAGGCCGCTTTGACCATGCAAAGTAAGACAACCACTCCAAGTAAGGCACTGCAGGGGGAGAACGGTGATGGCCCTGGAGGCCAGATGGCTTCCTGGGACGCCCACGAGGGCCAGAAGAGCAGTGGTGGTTCTGCCATGCCTCCCTCAACAGTCCTGGGCTTTTCTCCATGAAGAGGGAAAGACATGGGGCAAACAGGCCGTGACTGTCTCCCTGGAAAAGGGGATGATCAGAATTATCCTCTTCTCGCTGATCACGGACTGGAGATGGGTATTTTCCTGCTGCACAGCGAGAGAAAGGCAGCCTGTGAGCAAAGCTGGGGGGCTGGCTGGGGTGTCCTTGCAGGCTAAAACTGGCCTGCGGGCTGACGGATTCTCTATCCCTGTGTGACATTTTTCTAGGAAAATGTACTTTAAAAAGTAATGTACATTTAATGTACATTAAAAAGTACATTTTACAAAAGTAAAAAGCAGTGTGAAAGGAAAAACCAGAAAGTCTCTCAGTAGAGACTGAGCATGCCAAAGTTGCCAATGGCTGGGTAGGAGGGAACTAAAACTGGCTCTGGGGAGGAGCGGCCTGGAGTATTTTGGAGTAGGGCATGACTGGCGAGGCAATCGCGCTCATTCCGTGCTCAGTGAGATGCGTGTTCTCCACCCCCCCAGAGGACCGCAAGGTCAAAGTGGGGACAGTAAAGCCTGCATGGCACCCGCCGTTCTGTCCTTCGGTACCTCCCTGCCTGACACCCAGTGACACCAGCCTGCCACGGATACCTTATTCTCCATAACAGGAGGCTGGCCCCGCTCCCTGGCCCACTGTCACCCTGCCCGTGGGCGGCATTTTGTTGACTGCCCTTCTCGTACGGCATGGCAGGAACACAATGGCATGGAACACCCCCCTCCTTTCATCAGACTGAGTGGAAACCAAGCATTGGTGGCTGTAACATATGGGCGTGATAGTATGTCAGGCTTTCTGCACTGAATGCTAGATGAATGCTACAAGTGCTTGCAAAATGTCCATTTTAATTTATTCATCCTACCGAAAGGTATGGAATTTGTTCTGTGTTTGATATCCCTAAAAGATGTCCTGTTCTCTTTCCAACCCAATCACAGATTCCTCAACCAGGAACAGCGTAGGCTTCAAAATAAACACGTGGGAGACATCCCGAAGGGGCCATTCCTTCCTCTACAATGTAGAGTTGAGCAACGGAGAACTTATCATACCACAGACTGGCTTCTATTACATCTACTCTCAAACTTACTTTCGGTTCCATGAATCCGAGGATGTAGAAATTGACTCTGATCCAGGCTCTGACAGTGTCAGAAACCCTAAGCAAATGGTTCAGTACATTTACAAGCGCAATGACTACTACCCAGACCCCATCTTAATCATGAAAAGTGCAAGAACTAGCTGTTGGTCTAAAAAGGCTGGATATGGACTTTATTCCATATACCAAGGTGGTGTATTCCAGTTACAAACCAATGATCGGATTTTTGTCTCAATCAGCAACGAGGAACTGGTGGACATGGATAAAGAAGCAAGCTTCTTTGGAGCATTTCTGGTCTCATGAAAATGAGAATGTCCAAAGTCTTTAGAACAATGAGCGAAATCTGGAGATGTGACTTTGTGTCGCATAAAGAGAAAGTTTACCGTAATGTTTTAACTGGAATAGCTGGGAAGACTTTTTTCCATTGGACCCGTGTTGCGCTTTCTTGGGTCTTATTCTTTCCTTGGCGAAGTCATCTGCCAAAGTCCACAAGATGTTAGTGGTTGCCATGCCACACAACAAAGTGCCTAAATTACTTTCCAACCGATTTATTTTGGAAGGATCAGTTTGAAAGCCGCAGTGACCACTGAAAACCACATGCAACCAACTGCACCTGTGAAGGAATGCACAGTGGGAATCCCGCATCCCACTCACCTGTGATCATACTTCCACAAAGTTTGCGTTGTAGTAGATTGAATCGGTTGGACTGGTGCTATGGTCTTTTCTGACAGCATTCAAGGTTTGACTGAATACTTGCCCTTCTCTGAATTGCTTCCATTGCAAATCTTGCACAGCAAAACAATGAAAGCAGAACCTCACATTCAGGAATATTCCATGGACTGCCAGAACCATATCCCTATAGACTTCAAGTGGGGGGAAATTACAGCCCCATAGACTAAAACCTTCCCTCGATATGGTCAGGTTTGTGCACGCTCATTTTCGTGCCACGGAGCATTCAGACATACAGCTCTCTTCATGCACTCTGAATTGGTGGCTCATCTCTTTTATCCATCATTGTATGAAGAAGCCTACAGTGCACAGTAGATAGTTGATGGGATTACAGAGAGTGTGGAAAAGTGACCCAAATCACAGGTTGCAATCCTGTGTTTTCCTTCAAAGCGCGTCTACTCATGTAAAGGGAAAGCCCTACCTTCATTTAATTTTTAACCATATGCTCACAAAAAAACAGAGATCTATGTTCCTTTTTGTAGACCTTATGAGCCAGTGTCATGAATACTGCAAACAGGGTTGTCTGAACTATGGAAATCAACAGATGGTCTCGAGAAGATGAATAGCATTACCTGTAGCCTGCTGTTAAAGGCACAGGAGCAAGGCCAGGTAAAAAAGTTTGCACTCTCAAAGGTGTTTAAGACCTGTGATACTGCTATAACACTTGAACTTACATGCATTTAAGTGCTTCTCTGTTCCAGAAAGGTAAGTAAATTCAACCACTGAATACTCAGAAGTGGAGTTATTCCCAAAGCTCCAGGTAGGTTTGCCATACTTTAGCTTGTCCTGCTTAACTAGCAGCCTGCCATGTGGGCATGTAGCTAATGATGCTTCCCCATCATGGCAGCTCAATGCCTGAACAAGCTTCATTTGCATAACTTCTGGGTTTTCAGGTTGCCAAAGGCTGCCATCTTTTCATGAGCCATTGCAGCTCTGCCTTAAAAAAAGCAGCTTGCTGTGTGGCCCCTTGGGGTGCAATTTCCCTGCATTCTAAGTTGTCTTACTTCATTTTTTTCTTTTCATATTGTGACAACACTACCCATGAGGACTGCAAAAAAAAAAAAAAAAAAAAAAAAAACCCTTGAAAGGTTTAGGAGCCTTTTTGGCTCAGTAGTTGGCAGTTTTCATATTGACTGGTGGGTTGTATGCAGTTTGTACTGTGCAAGCACAAAGCAGTGGCGAGGGAACCGTTACCCGAATAAAGATGTAGCTTACAGGCCCTGCCCGCTACTCTAGGAGCGAGAGGAGAGTGAGCAGGCAGGATGGGTGGAAGGCATCTTGCAGTGCCTTGGAGTTTTCAGAAGAGCCACTCTCAGATCAAAACCCAGGCCCTTGTTGTATATAGTGCTGTGAATTTGTATAGAATTTCTTTTTTTCTGGGACATTCATTTCCTAACTTTTTTATAATGGCCAAAGAAGGCTATAAGTTTGTAGGAGTTTCGTCTTGAACAGTCACATTATGCTTCGGCGAATGGGGCGGCATAAAAATGTTTTAATTAATTAATTAATTAATTAATAAAATTATTGGCTTTACTTTCCTGAACCAGTGAGGGCTCCCAAGGGTTAGAGTGACAGGAGCATGAATGTTGGCTCTGTCTTCCAGCTTCATGGGCAGGATGGCCCCATGGGCAAGGTCCAGTTCAGGGATGGAACTGGGATAAAATGGAGCAGAGAAAGTCTGTGTGCATGCATGCGTGCAGGGTTCGGGTTTTACAGGTCTTCTCTGAACCCATGGCAAGTTAATTGTCCAGCATTTTTCAGGATTTTGTGGGAATGGAATAACTAATGCAACCCTTGTGGAGCAGGTGAAATTCTAGCACCTTTTGGTGGAAAAATGCTACTCAAAACATGGTAGCTGAGGCTCCAAGTTTTTGTTCTTGTTTTTTATTACATGGGGACAAAAGGGCTCACCTGTCTAGCTACTACTCTGTTGGAACTTCCAGCTGGATTGCTAAGAAGGTGAGCATTCTTCTGGGAGATGATGGGCTGGATTCAGACTTTGTCATACTTAAATCAACTGGAATTAATAAGATTTGCATCCTGACCAACTTAAATCTCACTCATTTAAATGGATCTGCTGTAAGTATGACAATCTGTTAACCCATTCCATCCCTCCAGGGAGAAGGGACAAATAATAGAAAAAGACATGACAAAACACCCACTCAGCTACCTCATGTTTTTGGAAGTCCCCTGGACGCTGCAAAAAGGAAGTGCCTTCATTTTCATAGAACAAAAATAGGCATGCAGAATTATGAAGGATTTGTTTCAAATTCTGTGTTTCATTTTTGCATTTTTAATACAGAGACATGTGCTGACAAAAAAAAAAAAAACAAAAAAAAACCAATAGTTTTGCTCTTCTGTAATGCTACTTCTTGATTCTGTTATTTTTCTTGTTGATCTGGACACAAGCCGTTGTAAATATTTTTTTAATAAAACAGATTTTTCACCAATGATGGATTTATGTTTTCATTATTGCACACTTTTTATCTGTTGAAAAAGTGACCTTTTCTAAGAGGCATTGCCAAGTGACCTGAAGAAGAAAGGGAAAAGAAAAACACCTGAGCATCACCTTGAAAAGAGGCATCGTGCAAAAATAAACTGGGGAGATTTTTAATGGTGTGGCAAGAAGCACAATCACCAGGCAGTTGCTACAGATCATGTTACTGTTTTTCAACTACAGGGGAGCTAATTCAAAATGCAGCAACCTTGCACGTTCCTGTTAATTGCCAAGGCAATGATGAGGGCCGCGTGGCTGTCCGAGTTCCCCTCTCCATGTGTATATCCAAGGCAAGGCAAGAAAAGCACGGCTGTAGCCAAGCCATCTCCTCCCCAACATAAAAGCCCTGAGTGAGACGAGCAGAAGGCGAGCACTTTAATTCATATAGCTACTGCTGAACTTACTAAAAAAGCTACCGGGGCAGTTGCGACACTCTGAAATGAGGAAATTGTAGCATAATAAAATAAGTTGCTATTCTAAGAGGAACATCACTTCCAGCTCCAGTGGGGTACTGGTTTCCCGCCTCTTGGCACTTCATCTTGAGTACTGCATCCAGTTCTTAAGGGGAAAAGGTTCAGGGGAGGGCAACAAAGATGATCGGGGGATTGGAATTGAGGGGAGCCAAGGCATTGGGCATGGTTAGCCCTGAGAAAAGGGAAGGGAAATAAACGGCAATCTTCAAGTACTTCAAAGACTGTGGGCATCTCTTCTCAATCAGGTCAGAATGCAGGGCATGTAATAATGGGCTCAAGTTACAGGAAGCCAGATCCTGGCCAAGCATCAGGAAATACTTCCTGATAGAGCAATATGGCAACAGACCAGTTGCCCAGGGAAGTTCTGCCTCCTTCCCCACCGGAGATGTTCAGGATGCAGCTGGGCAGCCATCTGTCAGTGATGCTTTAAGCTGAGTAGAGGTGGGATCCAGTGATCTTCCAACTCTGGTATTCTGTAAAAAGCAAATAGAGGAGGGATGTTCCTATTCAAATCCCTAAAAGAGTTTTTCTTCAGAGGCACAGTGGGAGATGCAAGGTCTTCTCAAACATCCAGTGGCAAAAGTGTGAAGGGGCTAGCAGAATGTCAGTCCGGCCTCCTCCCCTCTTGGACCCCAGTGCGCCCCTTTTTGTCCTCTCTGAGGCTCAGCTGCAACCTCGGAGAGGCAACCTACCTTTCTGCACTGGCTGTGATGGAGCTCTGGAGTGGGGCCCCGAATAACCCTATACCCCCAGAGAGTGTGGGGAGGCAATCGCATTGCCCCTTGTGCAATTAGTTACCACAAAGCATGGAGTGGTGCAATCCCTCATATAAGCCTGTGTGTGTGTTACGTAACATAATTCCTAACATAATTCCATCCGTAAGGGAGAAAGGAATTCTCTCAGTTTTTACTGTATGGCTGGATGGAGAGACTCTTCCCTTCCCAGCCACCACCCACCCCTCAAACACCTTCCCCTTTTGCACCCACCCATGAAACTAAGTAGTTCTCATTGGCACCCATGGGAGCTTTTTACCTAAATGCTAAAGCCACCTGGAGCACAGTTTTATGATGAGCAATCACAACTTCGGCGAATGGGGCAGCATAGAAGTTCCCTAAATAAATAAATAAACTGGGGAAACTAAACGTATGCCCCTTGCTGCACTCCTATCTTGGCAATAAATTACTTATTATGAATAAATATTTATTTATTGTTTACAATAATTGATGTAATTAATTATTGCAAGTAATTATGTGAAGTAGGTGGCTTAATGTACCTTAAACCATAGGCATAGCTTTTGTAATCCTTTAAGCATAAGAAGATGGTATTTAAAGAGCTGGGGCAAATTCTTGGAGGACAGTCAGGGTATCGCTGAGGGTGCCCTCATGAGATGGAAGCCAGGTCTGGAGGCTTCCACATACCCAGTGCCCCATTGAGCCAGTAGGATGGGAGGAGCACCTGAGGCAATTTTCACCTCTGTAGTCTGTGGTTTTTTGTTGGATGGGTCTCTGTGCCCTTCTAGTTGAAGCATGTTGGCTGGGGATAAGGATGGCTGTGGGTGCCACTGAATTCCTTGTATCCTGTTCTTTCCCCTCCCACCAAAATACCCTCTTTTCCACCTTTTTGACATCCTCCAAGGCCACTTTGGCAACCTGAGGAAGCAGCTGATGTGGGTCTCTCTGTACTGGCACAGAAATGAGATACCAGTTTCCACCTTCTTGGGCAGTAGCCATGTCTGGGGCCTGATGAATCTCTGAATAATCCCATTGTCCCTGGGACATTCTCCAAAGTCTGTAGGATAGCTCTCCCCATGCACAGAGGAAGTCTGTCTCCCAAAATCAGGTTGCACGAAGTCGGGATTTTGCTATGATCCTTATAAGTCTTGTCAACAAACTGTGTGTTTCTGCCTGGCCTCTGGTGGCAACAAAATGCTAGCATAGCTTACCTTTGCTCTAATCTGGCAAGATATTTCTTACCTTCTTTACTAGTATTGCCATGGTTACTCTTAGGGATTCTGCTGCTAGGGCAGAGGGCCCTGACCTGATGGCATTAAGGTGTGTTCTGCCGCACTTCATCCCTTCTATCCGGCACACCTGTCGCGCTAGAGCAAAGCAGAGGATCAGGTTGTCCACGGATGTCCTCTGAGCAGACCATTTCAAAGCCAAATGAGCACAGTTAGTTCTCGAGAGTCAAGAGGTTACCGTAAGTCATTAATACATAATCTGCAGAACCATATGGCACATGGCACAAGCTACAGAGCCAGCCCAACGAGGCAGAAGCAAAAACAAACCATCTGCTAAATTCAATAACCAAATACTCCAATCTCTCTTGTCTTTACGTGAACGGATGGAAAGATGGCATCACCCTCACATTCTAGTGGTCATCTGGCTCCCTCCCCCTGCCCATCCCAGAAACAAAACATGGTTAGGACACAGAGTTTAAAGGTATCCACACGAGAGCAAATTGTGATGTAACCTTAGCCCTGCACAGAATTTAAGAGGTGTTGCTTATTATTTCAGATTTCAGAGAAGAATGGGAGAATTTGAGAAAGCCAGTGGTGGATTTTTTCTAGGGGGACCTTCAGAGAGAGGTGAGCAATTTGTGGACCTCCAGATACCTCGACCAGCTGGATAATTCATGATCTCTGACTAAGGGTGAGGGGAGTTGTAGGTCCATGCCTGCCACAGGAGTCGCAGAGTCGCTCCCTGGTAGGAGGAGCACGGTCATGCGGGCCTAAACTTTACCCTCAGGTCCCAGCTGAGCAAGAGGCTGGCCAGGGAGCGCTTGCACGTCCTGCTACTCATTTTCCCACAGCTGCCACTCATGGCAACTCTTCTCTGCTCCTGCCAGGACATTTTTCCACTTGGCATGCCTGCTGCTCTGCCTTGCTGAGGGAAGAAACAACAGACAACATCTGTTGTGAGAAGAAGGCTTAACTTGACCCAGAATTTAATCCTGGCTCATTTTCCAGCTTGCCCCTGGTTGGAAACATTTATTTATGTATTTATTTATTTATTATTATTTTATTTATATAAAATTTTTACGCCGTCCAATGGCCAACGTCTCTGGACGAACAGGGCATTCTTCTTCAGGCATGTGCTTCCTGCTCCAATGCATCATAGGCACCTATCCTGGAAATGCTACAGGTGAAGCAGGGATGCTCTGCAGACTCAACTGATCCCACAGCTCATGTGCATTACTGCATCATCCAGGGGTCAGCACCAATACACACATGCCCAGAGGCCCTTCCCACATTTGGAGACAGACACCTGAAGAGGGCTGATGGGCATTCTTGTTGCTCATTCAGTAGCCAAGGTTGAATTCATACAATAACACTTTTTTACACAAAAGTAAAACTCCCACTCTTTTTTTCTGCAGTGACAAACGTGTTTAATGCAGTTATGACAGAATAGAAACTGAAAGTAACACTGAAGACTCTTTGTCTTGCTCTGTTCTATAATAATTATAGGTTCTGAAATTAAACCTAGCCAGATCACCGCATTCATGTCCTATTTCATTTGATGACTTTATGTCTGTTTCTGCACTTTTAATCTCCATTCTTTTCTGTCCGTTGCAACTTGCCACCAGCTCAGCAGTGTGTTTGAAGCATCATAACATTTCCGCAGCGAAGAGGCACTGCTAAGCAGGAGGGGTTGGGCTGCATGTGCCAGCTGGCTAGCAAACACCTAAGGAATGATCAGAAAGCAATTTCAAGGGCCATCGACTCCTTCTTGAACAATGGGTTTGACTAAGCATTATGCAGCAAAATAAGTCATCCTAAGAATTTCCTCTCCGTAGGCTTCTCACCATTGTGGCATTGATGAATAAAAGGAAGTTATTTGCGGGTGCAGGTTCCACCAACAAGCACAGCTGAAAGAGGTGACAGAATCTTCGGATGGCAGAATGCATCAGAGAACAGAAAGAACATCACATTGTTATGTTCCTCTGGGTTGGAAACAAAGAAGTCAGCTCCATATTTGTAGGCAACATTCTGGTGTTTGTTTATTATTATCTATACGACATGCCCATGGTGGGCATGTCGTGAGCGGAGCTGGCTGGAGTCGGGGGTCAGACTAGATGGCCCGGGAGACCCCTTCTGACTCGCTCTGTTTCTATATCTCAACTTTTTTCCTATCCAGGAACACAAGGTGGCTTATACAATCCTCTTAATCTTACCTTCCCAGCAACCCTGAGAGGTAGGTTGGGTTGAGGGTATGGTGCCAAAACAGCCTGTGAGTGGGAACTAGAACCGAGGTCTCCTGACTCCCAGCTTTGGATTCTTAACCACTAAATCACACTGGCGCTCAACTATATTTCAGTTCTCAGTATCAGAACTGAGTGTGATTACTTAGCATTCCTATGGAACACATTTTGCATGTGCTCAAGGCATGACATCCTTCCAAGTACTTAACCTTTTCCCAGGGCTGAAAGATATTAAGCCCAGAGCTGGATGCCCTCACCTTGTCATGAAAAGTTTGGGGGACTATTCCAGTGCTATCTAAACTTTGTCACATGCTGAAAGGTCATATCAGCTCTTGTAAACCAAGGCTTCCTCTATGGCATATTTCCATCTCATGTTCGTTCCTCCTCCTCCTCTTCTGCATTCCACTCTCTTCAGAATGAGGTGCCTCCATGGTTCCTTCCCTCCCATCACTTTGGCCAAAGGCGTTCCTGGATTAAATCTTTGAAGACTGAAGAGGGTTGAAAAAAGCCTTCCTCTTTCAAAAGTACAAAGTTGCTTAATTTTGGTTTTTCAGTGCTGCTGCTGCTGGGACACATTAATAGTATCAATTCATTTATTTTTAAATAATGTTTATATCACTGGTCATATACCACAAATCCAAGTGGCTTGTAATCGCAAAACTACAATACATGATTAAGTTAACATGATCACTGTGCAATAAAATTAGCAACTATGAATTAAATAACTGAGACAGGTTTTACAAATGAAGAAATGCAGAGGAGAATTAAAACTTCTCCACCTAATCAGAAATTGAGTTAGCACATGTTTCATTTCTGGGAGAGGGAATGGAAGCCATTGCCAAGAAGAGCCCCTTCATGTTTGTCCTCAGATGGGCATCTCCAGGATCAGTGGAAGAGCATCTCCAAGTGGGAGAAGGCATTCTCTCAGTTATCCTAGCTCCAAGTTGCTTCTGCCTTTAAGGGTTGATACCAAACATTAAACCTGGCTTCGGAGCCAATTGGCAGCCGCTGGAGTTTTTCAACCACGGTGATCTGCTCGTATCTCTTCCCCACTGCATTTTCTGCCCGCGTTGGGCCCTTTGGCAGACCCGGCAGGATAGAAAGGGAGTGAACAAGCAAGACCTTAGATCTGTCGTACCTGGCCAGATCTTTCTCTCGGATGTCTCACGCGCACAGGCACCCTCACGCACACCCCGAAACTCTCTACACCTCCTTCCCACCTCCATTCATTCATGGGGAGGCGGCGACTGCTGCTCCCGTGGGACTCCTTCTCTATCGCGGCTGCTACGCCGAGCTTTGGGGGAACTTTCCCGGCGCTTCTGGTGCGCAACCCTGGCGCGGGAATGGGGTGCAGCACCGGGGACAGCTCCGGCCGAGTCCCGTGCGCCAGCTGCAGCGCGGGAGGCGCCCGGCGGCCCGAGTCCACGCGCAGACGCCGTCCTGCCCGCCCGATCGCCGCACGCTGTCCCGCTTCAGCCCCGCACGCAGGTGAGCGCCGGGGCGGCGGGGGATTCGCTGGTGAGGCAGGAGGGAGGGTGGGAGCGGGGCGCTGATCCGGCCAGGGGGTGGAGCGGGGCTCCTGCCGCCGCTTCTCCCCCGCCGCGCCCGCCCACCCCAGCTGGGGGCTTCAGCCCTTCCCGGGGGCCGCCGAGCGTGGCACAGAGCGGCGGCCGCGGCTTCGGGGGAGGAGCGGCGCCAGGTGGAGGCGCCCCCGCCGCCGCTCCAGGCGCTCGCCGAGCCTCGCCGCCGCCGCGACGTGGCCAGGACGCGCGGCGCGGCGCGGGGCGAGCCTGCCTTCCCGGGCGGAGGTGACTTGGCCGCAGCTTCGCCCCGGCTCAGCCCCACCTCCGCGGACCCGGGGAGCGCATCTTCTCCTCGGATCCTTTGGAGCGGGCTTGGACCGGGAGAGCGGCCGGACAAGGCTGTCTGCACGCGCTCAGACGGACTCTCTCGCTCTGCCTCGTCTCGGCTGCAGAGCTCCCTGCAGAGGGTGTCCTGGCTTTGCTTGTTTGCTGCTGCTGCTGCTGCCTGCTGTTTACAGAAAGCACTTGCAAGGATCTGTTCCCTAGAACTGCCTGCGATTCGGCCAGCTTGGGACTGGCCCCGCCGCCTCCCGGAGCCTCCCTCCGCCCCTGGGAACGGTGACTGGGCGCAGAACAAGGTATGCGAGCGGGCTTTCCCGACCTGGTGACCTCCAGACTACAATTCCCAGTCTGCATGGAGGAAGCGTGGCTTGTTGGAGGTGGGGTGCAGGGAGTTGTAGTTCGACACTTCTGCAGGATGCCAGGTGGGGGAAATATGGTGCCAGGATGAATGAACTAGCTGGTCGACGGACAGAAGATGGGTGTGCGCGTGTGTGTGCGTGCCAGGTGCAGGGGGAGCTGTCATTTGCCCTTCATAGATAAGCTGCCTCAGTCCAGAACAGGGGCCCCTTTACGCGTCTTTCAAGGCACAGTTGGGGGCATTTGAGGCAGAGAGAGTGAATCCCTCATCCTTTTGCACACTCACTGGTTGTATTCTCTGGATACTGGATGCAAGACCCTGTGAGACAGGCGCATCTCACTCCCAAGTTAATAACTTGTGGTTGCAGAAGTGCCATGGGATTCCCATGCCAATTCCCCTGTCGGGTCTGTGTGTGCAGAAACTGGTTGGACTTACCGGCATGTTTATTGGGATTGTGTATCTGGTGGGTTCTCCTCCTTCCCCTCCCTTACAAATATAGAAGTTGCAAGAGAAAAGCTACTATACAGAAGGTGAATAGCCCGTGTGGCATGATTAAACTGCATATGTTAATCAAATAGCATTTCTTTATTGCATTTCTATGTAACCCGATAGCCAAAGCTCTTTGGATGGGTTGCAAACCCTTAAAAACACAGACAGACACCATGGAACATAATCTAAAAACAATGTTCATGCAGATCAGTAACACCGGGATTCCTTCAAACTTTATTACAAATGCCTGCAAGGGCAAAAAAAGACTACCTGCTATGGAAGGGCTAGCAGTGTTGGCACTAGACTAACCTTGCTGGGGAGATCTGATGGATGCCACATGAATGAAAGAGGGTTAAATAAGGCATGCTTTGTTTTTATGGCATTTCTCCTGCATATTTGGATCCAACCCTATCTTCATGGAGCTCAGATTGTCATGGGTAGTGCTATCCACACAGCAATCCTTTGAAGTAGGGAGAGGAAAATGCCAGACCTCGGAGTCACACGGAGAATGGAACTCTGGTCTCCAAGGACTCAGTCCACCGCACTGACTATCTACAACAGACTATGGGTTGTGTGAGGATTCTTTAACCCTCAAATAACTTCTGCTGGCTGGGTTCATATGACACAACATGCACAGCAACTCTTGATTGGGGGTTGCATTTCATTGTGGGGGCTGGCACACACTGCCATACCTTGAGGGTTAAGCAACCAGCATGGTCTGGTGTGTCATGTGAGTCAGCCTATTGTGTAAGAAGTCCTGCATGGCAATTTCTGGTGGCAGCAGCTTGCTTGCTCCTGTAGGATGTGGTATGGCTTGGATGCTTGATCTGTTAGATCCACAAACACTTTCATCAGTGTATCCATGTTTTGGAGCAGGTGGGTGATGTATTCACAAGCAGATAAGTTTGCCAAGGGAGAGGAAGCTGGGTTGTTCCAGAGCTTTGATTCCATAGTCCCATTCACTTATGTTCATTTGCCACTAGGTGACCGCAACATCCATCTAGTGATGGCTTGTGTGTGCAAATGGGCCAAAATGTGGTACACATATTGTGTCACCCATGGTGCTTTTCAAGGGAGCCACTTCTTGTATTCATCAAACATCGCTGAATGTCAGGAAATCAAGGGATATCACACACAAGGGAACTATTGAGAATGCAGAAGCAAAGCTGGTGTTATTTCGGGGGGCAGGTTGGGGAATTAATGAACTGCTTGTGTGCCTTCTTGGCATCTGTGATTTTACTTTTGCCTTGGCCTTAGGTGTGCCCCCACCTGCCCCTTGTTCTCCCCTGGGCTGCTCACTTGCCTTGGGTCATTTTTCTTTGTTTTCTTATAGCACCTCCTGGATGTCCAACACCAGTTGCTGCCACCAGCACCAGCACCGCCACTGCGTCATCTGTCTCAGACATGATGAGAAGCTGATGTGCCCCTCTAGAGCATCAGAATCCAGTCCATGTTCAGAAGGCTCTTTTGAACCTAATGATGTACAACAAGAGCAGTGTACAGCTTGTCATGGATTATGACAACACCACCTGGTCCGAGTACCCTCTGCGCTTCTACCCTGCACCTCTGCTGACTGGCATCACAGTCACCTGTGTGTTCCTCTTTGTGATTGGGATTTTAGGAAACTTGATGACGATGCTGGTGGTCTCCAAGTTCCGAGACATGAGGACAACCACCAACCTGTACCTTTCCAGCATGGCTTTCTCAGATCTGCTGATCTTTCTCTGCATGCCCCTGGATCTCTTCCGCCTCTGGCAGTACCAGCCTTGGAATTTTGGGAACCTCCTCTGCAAGCTCTTCCAGTTTGTCAGTGAGAGTTGTACATACTCCACCATCCTCAACATCACTGCCCTGAGCGTGGAAAGGTATTTTGCCGTCTGTTTTCCACTCTGGGCCAAGGTGGTGATCACAAAAGGCAAAGTCAAGCTGGTTATCCTAGTGCTCTGGGCAGTCTCTTTTGTCAGTGCTGGGCCAATCTTTGTCTTGGTCGGGGTTGAGCATGAGAACGGGACCAATCCCTTGGATACGAACGAATGCCGAACTACAGAGTATGCGATTCAGTCAGGGCTTCTGACCATTATGGTGTGGACCTCCAGTGTCTTCTTTTTCCTACCCGTATTTTGCTTGACTGTCCTCTACAGCCTCATAGCGAGGAAACTCTGGAGGAGAAAGAGGAAGGATGTTGGACCAAAGACCTCAATCAGGGACAAGTACAACAGGCAAACAGTGAAGTTGTTAGGTAAGGATATCTTGGCTTATTCTATGACATGTCTGCTTACCTTTGTGGATCTGAGAGACAGAAGCATGGCTCCTACTGAATCAACTGCATGCATGTTTTGAAGTGACACCAAGCACTTTCTCGCATGTAAAAAATTTACAATACAGGTACAGGCAGAGGCGGCTGGTGGAGCCAGAGCCATTGTGGCTACTGTGCCCTCTGGCTTGAAGTCTGACCTTTGAGGAGCTTCCTGTGGTGCTAAACCTATTTTTGGGGATGGGGGCAGAGTTCAGAACCATGGACAGCTCCTTGAAAGTTCCTGTTGCATCTTAGGCGTGACTACTCTGTTCCACCAGTATTGGAGCCACTGTTCTCTGCTGGGTGCGGGGCTGGCCTCCAGCAGGCCACATTAGACAAAAGCTAAGGGGACAGAAGCTGAAGCTGTGGCCTGCAGTCCTGCTGTGCATGTAGCTTGCTGAGCCCAAAAGTAGGAGAAATCACAGGTCCCCTGCCAGTACTGAATAAGATTCCATCAGCAGCATGCCCTGTTTTGGTACCTGCAAGCCAGGGACACACTATTTCCTCCTTCAGCTCAGATAGTAAAAAGCTGTGCACCAGCCCTGTAAGGGGGTGTTTACTTGGGTACTTTAAGAAGGGCACAGGGCTACTCAGACACCAGCAATACCTTTTCATGTATGGAAATGGCTAACATCTGACTCACCAGGGTATGCTAGACACAATCCCATGAGAGTTCAAAACCGTGAAGTCACTTGTCTTCAGGGTTAAGTTTGCATTCACGGATGTGATTTCCTGCGTGCTTCATGGGAAACTGCAATAGCAAACGCGCATGCAAAGGTTTGTTTGGTAAATCTCCCAGAACCTTCCATTGATTTGCAGGCATGCTGAGCGTTGGCTAGCGTGTGTCCTTGCACATCAAACCCAAGCACATGTTCCAGTCCCCCACACCATTAGGCTTGCACAGAAAGGCTGGAGTGTGGCCAGTGCTCCATGACAATCCACCACCATGGGGTTTGTGATTCCCTTCACATGCTCAAAAGCGAATTCTCATGTGATTCTCCCTTCCCCACACACGTACACACAGTAGGCCCCCTGCTGCACCATCCAGCTTATGGGGAGATGGGGCCACAAACATAGGTTGCGGAGAACATGCTCATTCCTATGCAAATCTCATACGATCTGAATTGCACACAGATTTGTACACCCTGTAAAGCTAAATCTTTCCTGCATTCAGGTTTTATTCATGTAACTGATGACAGTTTTATGAATGAAAATCACATGGGTGTCTCTGGTGATGTAAGATGGATGCTCTAGTTCCTGTGCCTTTCTCACTAGTAAAGAGCTGTCCTTTTCATAGGCGGGGAGGGAATAGATCTGCCTACTCATTCCTTTTGTGGGCCCATATTTGCATGTTTTCCATTGATGAGAATGGGGAGGGGTTACAATTAAAGGACTGGGTTCCGCAGATCTGATTCAGTACAAGGTTGTTTCTTAGCCCATACGAATAAGAAATCATGTGTAAATAGTTTTGATTTGCATAAACATTTCTAAATGAACAAAACTCTAGCTCTGGGTGGGGAAGAACCTTGCACCCTGTATGAAATGGCTGCTGTCAGCTTTTCCTTTCTAACTGGCAGCAAGAAAACGTGTCCAGTGTCAACAAACTTGTACCAATTCACTTGGTTCTTGCCAGATCCTATGCCATGTGATCCAAGAATTGTTTTGGGATGTGCTTGGTAGATTTTTAAACAGCACCTGTTTACACATGTCTACTCAAATGTAAGGCTCATTCGGTTCAGTGGAACTCACTCCTAGGTGAATGTTATACATTTACAATGTTATCTGCATGTGGGTCAGATCCCTTGAACTCTGCATGGAGGAGATAACACTGACATGGCCAACCAAAAAGTATATTTGTTAAAGTCTATTTATCACCAATTCTTGCAAAACAATCACTGTCTTATTAATTCAGATTTAAGTAAACAAGGTGGCAGTTCGAATCACAGTTATCTAGCAATGAGCACCATGGAACAGAATGGACTTATTCCTGAGTAGACATATGCAGGCTTACAGTGTTAGTCTACTAACAAAGCAGCTTTGCTCTCTTTCTACCTATATCTATATATATCTATAGCTATATATTAGAAGACAGCTTCTGTAAATGCTATTTATTTTTATCCTCCTGATTCTTGTGACAGCAAAGTTCTTAAATGTATTTCAGAGGGGCGGATGGTTTGTTGTTTGCTTCCACAGCAATATATGCTTGGTAATTGGAAGAAGTTAATATGCATGTTCTGTTTTATCTCTGATAATTAGTGGAAAACCTGAATGGAACCCATTTCCTCCATAATAATACTGACACAATTCTCAATGCCCAAAATCTTGGTGCCTCACAGAACCCCTTCTTAGCTCTAAACTACAGAACATCAAAAGGAAAAATGACCATATCTTGTAATGTGAATGAAGTAATACATATGAATTAATACGGCACTACTCATGCCAGTGTGGAATTTCTCCCCAAGACAAAAACAGTAGCTTCAATGGAAGGCTTGTTTTTCTCCCCCTGGTCTGCAGTAGGAGATGAAGGGCTGGATTTCCTGCTCCACACTGTTCTGATCCCATTATCATCCCTTCTCCACGCTGAAATTAAGAATTTGAGCTGGGTCCAAGCATGGGACTCCAGCATTTAACATCTGCATGGTTATTAGGTGTATTTGATCCATCCCTGGTAATCACTTTTCCCTTCTGGGAAGATGTTGGGAGCCTTTTTGAAAAACAGTTTCTTAATATGGACCAGGTGCATTCATTGTTCATGTTTCTATCCCTCTTACCTGGGTGAATCCAGACTAGAAGCTCCTAGAATGATTCAACCACTGCTCTCTTGCTGTGAGCTATAAGCAGAATTGATTTTTCACCTTTGGTGGAAAAAGTACTCTGTGTACATCCCACTGTGTCCTCGCTACAGTAGCAGAAATGATGGTGCCCATTGGCAGGAAGCAGGGATTCACCTAAGTATGCTATTTTTAAATTGATTTTTAAAAGTAGTTTAGAGACTTTTAAAATATTGCAGTGAAGTGCCTTTAAAGTGCCTTTGCAAATTGCAATGAAGTGCCTTTAAAAATAGGAACTGTTGCACTGACTGACCATCAATGCAAGGAGACCTGGAGCTTTGGATGGGGTGGGATGGAGGACAGTTGAAGAGCAATGTCTGCATCCTGGGACCTGTCAGGTCCTAGCGCTGGAGCAGGAGGGCAAGAGTGTTTCCTTCTACCACTCAGCCCCTGTGGCAGCAGCGGGAGGGAGCCATGCCAGCCGCAGGGCTGGTAACTGCACTCTCCGCTACTACTCCATGGAGATCCGCACTCGCAAACAGAATCACACATTATATGAATTGCATAACAGAGAGCTGATCCCATTATTTATTTACTTAGTGTAACTATCAGTGGGTGGCCCCAATTCAGTGCATGCTGGGGGAGTGGGGTCAAACCTTACCTCCACACCATTCCCCACTCCTGAAATTCTATCCCACTGCAGGGAGGAAGTTTTGAAATGAAATCTATGAAGGCTTTTCATGTTGCTTTTGGATATCAAATTTCAGGGAAAACTGGGTGAAGGAATATTTAATCTTCCCCTCCCATAGCCAGCTGGTCCTGATCTGTGCTCAGTTACACTACAGTGTTGGTGTGTTGTAATTGTTTAAAAGCTGGCCTGGGATTTGGGACATTCAAGTTCTGGTCCCCACTCCACCTGGAAGCTCACAGAATGGCTTTGGACCTGTTGCTGCCTCTCAGTCTAACCTGCCTCACCAAGTCACTGAGAGGCTAAAACGGAGAGGAAGATCAGCTTATGGACTCCTAGCGAGAGGAAAAAGAAAAGCCATAATAAATAGCAATCAGTAGTTTCACCGACAGGTTATACAATTAAAGTAATGTGTGGGATACCCTCAGACCATGAAGAGAGATGTCTGAAGTCTCCTATGGTGCTTCAGCAGGCTTCAAGGGAACAGAGGATTAAAGAACTTTTAAAAGATTTTTAAGGAATTTTTTACCCTTTCACAAAACACCCAGATTCTAACTAATAGGAGGCCATCCCTGCATTGCCCACTAGCATAAACCTTCTGAGGCAGAAACCACCTTTGTTCAGTACATGGAACTGTGCATAGACTCTGTGTGTGTATATAGTTATCAAGAGCTCAGTGAAAAGAGAGAGTTTAGTTTTATAATGTAAGGCCCCAAGCAAGAGAGAGAGAGAGAGAGAGAGGGAGAGAGAGAGAGAGAGAGAGGACAGTAACACCTAGAATATATAGGAGTGAACAATCCAATCAGATGAGGATACAAATACAAATAGGCATGGCCCAACAAGTTTTTTAGGTGTTGATGGGAATATATATAGAGAGAGAATCATCAATCTAAACTGGGTTCCCAGTGTTGCACTTGTGTGCACCTCCAATAGCTTCCAAGAAGGCACCCCCAATATGGTGCCCCTGGAGTCCCAAACAATGGCATTATTTTTTTGTATGAAATGCCCACCACTTTCTAGTCAGCATAAATAGGCTTCAACAGAAGCTGACCAAAGATGGGCATCAAAATGGTAAACACAGTTCTCTGTGGACAAGTATAAAGTCATAAAAAATCCCAACTTCAAATCTAAGCCCATGGGATCTCAGCTAGATCTTGGAATTATGGGGGACAGTCTGATGGAAATGTGGACCCAGTCCACAGCTGCTGCAAAAAGCCATAATTATGTTAGGTATAATTGAGAAAGGAACTGAAAATAGGACTGCCAATAATATGCTGCCATTATACAAACTTATGCTTCTAGGATATCATGTGTAGTTCTGGTCACTGCAGCTGTAAAAGTATATTGCAAATTCGGGAAAAGTACAGAAATAGACAACTAAAATGATCCAGGAGTTGGAACAGCACTTCTGTGAAGTACACTTGCAATCTCTGGAATTCTTTAACTTATAAACGGGCAAAAATAAGGGGACATGTGGTAGAGGTGTATAGAATGATGCATGGTGTGGAGAAGGCATTTTCTCCCACTGTCATGATTGGCAGGAGATTCAAGACCAATAAAGGAAGTTCTTCACATAGGACATAGTTAAACTATGGAATTTGCTATCAAAGGATGCAGTGGTGGTTACCAATTATTTGGACAGCTTGAGAAAAGTATTGGACAAAATTAGGGGAGGCAAGGCCATCAATGGCTACTAGTTCTGATGGCTATACGCTACCTGCCATATTAGACACAGTATACATGCGAACATCAGGAGAGCAATATTGCATTCAGGGCCTGCTTGTCGGTTTTGAGGGGCAGCTGGTGGGCCACCACATGAACTAGATGGAGCCTAATCCAGCACAGCTCTTCTTCTGTTCTTAATTATCCAGCTAAGTGTCCATTTGACGTTGACACTTGTATGCCACCAATCTGAAGGTCTTCACTCCAGTGCCTTATAGGATGTGAATGTTGATCCTTCCAGTTTTATAATATCAGCCTTTCAACAGCATAGAGAATCCATTTATGCAGACTTTCTGTTAAGCTCCATGAATCAGGTAAATAATTTAGACAAGGGTGTACATCCTTGAATATTAAAGAGTGTTCTGGTATAAAATTTATCTGTGTGATAACTTCCTCCAAAAAAGAAGCAACTACTGGACTGAAGCAAAGGTTTAAAAGAAGCATTAGTTGTGTTGCATCAATGAGCTGAATTAGATCAACCAGATTAAACAGTGGTGTCCAGTGATCCCAAAATAAAGTTTGTTTTGCATTCTAAGATCTGTAGGCTTGACCCATAGGTGCCAAAGCAGCAATCTACAGATTTTGATTTCTCAAATTTCCAAATGTGCCATGGGTACAAAAATGCTGTGGAACAACCTTACAATTTCTGAACCATAAGTGACTTCACAGAGTTGCTGAGGATAAAAGAGATTGGGAGAGAAATGTGCCATTGTGAGCACCTTGGAAAGTGTGGCAAATACTTTCCATAATAAGCTAAATATTCTTGGGTTTGTTGAGACCAAATTTCAGTTTCAGATTTTTTATCAAATTCCTGACCCTGGCTTTTCTCTATTGCTCTTTTCCCCCTTAATGAGCTGTGGAACCTTTTGATTCTATTACTGAATACAGGGCCGGCCCTACTGTACGGCAAAGCGAGTTGGCTGCCTCCAGCAGTGGATGCTGGTGATAGAAAAGCAAATGGTGCCTTCCCGCTGCTCCAGTCAAAATGCACAATATCGAGCCTATGAAAGTTGTTTTGGTACCCGAGGTAGAAAAACCCACAAACCTCTCTTCCTAAGAACTGGCAACTGTTGGTCTTCCATTGGCACTCTCCAACTCCTCCACCTGCCACAAAAATGGGAAAGTGTTTATTGCTCTCCTTAAAGTCCTTCTCCAGGTGGGTCTCTTGCTTTCAGAAGGTCATGACAAGGAGAAGGTGTCTTGATGACAGAGTGCAGGCTGACCTAGCGGCAACGGTTACTTCGATGACCGATTAAGCCTTTTCCTCAACCAAAAATTTTCCTGGGTGATTGATGGCTGCTGCTTTCCTGGCAGAAGAACCCTTAGGCAGGAGAAGGGATGAGAGAAAGAGGGAGGAAGGGAGACCTGCAGCTGAGCTCAGTGTTGAATTTTGATGCTGATGTTAAATTGTTGCAGCCTGCATGACGCAAGCAAGTGTGCCTTGCTGTAGTACCAGTCGCAATGCCAGTGCAGTCATAAAAGTTTTCTATAATAGGTTGAGGCAGGATGGTTTCCATTAACCCAGCCACTCTAAATGCCACTGTCAGGTGTGAAAGCTTTTCCCTATGGACATTTACACATCCGTTCAACCATGCTGTGTTCAAAGCACCCCATTCCAGAGAAAGCTGCTGTCATATAAAAACATAGGAAGAGCGCTGGGAAAGCAGCCTGTCTCCCAGGTGGCTTTGGGATTGCCGTTACATGTGAAGGCAGCCTGGTTTAGCTGTGAGATGCACAGCTCTGCCTCCAAGCAAGTGGTACGGCTGAGGGGCTCAGGAGCAACAGCTGGGGGCTTTTGTTGCTACCTGCAGCATCTGCCACCTGAGGTGAGTGCCTACTCTGCATCAACTGAACCATCAATGGAGAAGTAGCAGCAAACGGCATGTCTGTATTAGGCAATAATTGGTTCTCTCTCTCTCTCTCTCTCTCTCTCTCTCTCTCTCTCTCTCTCTCTCTCTCTCTCTCTCTCTCTCTCTCTTTCTTTGCAGCTGTGGTGGTCTTTGCATTCATCCTCTGTTGGCTGCCTTTTCACATAGGACGGTACCTGTTTTCCAAATCTTTTGAGGCCGGCTCCTTAGAAATAGCTGTCATCAGCCAATACTGCAGCTTGGTTTCGTTCGTCCTCTTCTACCTAAGCGCTGCCATTAACCCAATCCTCTACAACATCATGTCGAAGAAATACCGGAAAGCAGCTTACAGGCTTTTTGGAATCAAGCTACCTAGAAAGAAAAAACTCTTGGTGATGAAGGAAAGAAGCTCCCACACTTGGACAGAGTCCAGCATCAGACCAACATGACTGTGCAGACTGGATTTGACTGTTGCCTAAAGCCATAACAGAACGAGGAAGCTGTTCGTGTAAAAAAATGCCATGCTGTGTCTTTTTACGATGGGAGATGGCTGCAATTCAAAACAGAAAGGGCTATGGAAATGGAAAAGGTGTTGAGGATATTGTAGAAGAGCTGTGTACAGTTGCCATCAACAGAGATGGCATTAACCCCTCCTTTTCATCATTTTTTGGTGCCTTTGATTCTATACATAACAATGCTGGCCAGAGAGGTGTTTGCTATCCATCAAAGAAATACGAGCAAACAGACCAGCCCATGCTGTTCAACAGTGCATAGTCGAGCTTCAGTCTTGCTCCCCTCTGCAGCTTGGGTTGGAATATGGTGCTTCTGCTGCAGGGGTGAGGCTGGAGTGCGATGCGGTAGAAAGCCAAGGAAGGACAAGTAAGCACAGTGAAGAAAAGAAAGGCACACACAGAGAAAGTACTTCTCCTTTGAAGCATTCCACTTACATGGTGGGACCATGTCTCAGATAAGGGAAGATTCTCTCCCCCAAATTTACAGCGCAAGATCCATTAGCCTTGCATGAGTTCCCACTTGATCAGTGCAGGGCAGGTGGGACGTTTTATGTGGAATTAGCAAGGGAGCAGGAAATGTGAGCACAGAACCAGACAAGCTTGGGAGTGAAGGAGAGGGAATGAGATGAGATTTTTCTGCCCAACAGAGCAGGTGGTGAGAACCTTGGGGTTGTCAGAATAGGGTGGAGAGGGGAAGATGCACAAAGAAGACTCACTGGTAAGTGTGGCACTTGTGTGAATGGGCGGATATGGCAGAATGGAGGGTTGTTGCATTTCATTAAAGTTTTACTAAAGAAATGCAAAGTTATATGTTGCTTATTGCAAAAGAATAAGTGAGGCAAATACCCTGTATTGGTCAGTTGTGCCATGGACAACTTCCCCATGACTGGGCTTCTTCTGTTACAGCTTCTTGAAGGCTTGGCCTCAGTCCTTTAACATTTCATCTCTCATGTAAGAGTTCAAAGGCAGGACACAAAGACCTGAGAACCCTCTGAAGACACCATCTTGCAAGGTTCTTGGCCCTAAGTGGCTTTGGTCCAGGTGACCTGAAGGTCTGCCTTCCCTCATCGCAATCTGCCTGAGGGTCTTGCTTGTGTGCTCAGCTGCCAAAGCAACAAGTCTGGTGGCAGGAGGAGCAAGGTCTTCTTCCCAGTGGCCCCTGCTTGGGGAATGTTGTTCTAATTGCTCTGTACCTCCCCCTGCCCCGTCATTGCAGGCCCTAAAGACATATTGTTTGACCCTGGGCCTGCACTTGAGTCAAGACTTTACTCTGTGCCCCTGTGAATATGGTGTTACCTAGTTTGAATTGTTACTTATGATTTAATTGCTGTTGTATTATTATCCTCGTTTTATTGTGATTTGTGGTTTTAAATTTTGTATGCCACCTTGGGAGGGCTTTCCCTGCAAGGCAGCTTACAAATCTTTAGAAATAATAAAATAAATTGCCTTATTCCAGGAAGTGGATATGTCAATTAAATTGGATCCTACCTCTGTTGCCAAAGTGTATAAAAAGAGAGTGAAAGACGTTTTGCTGGTATGAAGAGCCCACTGCCACCGCGGGTGGACTTCGCTTTTCTTCTCCTGTGCCAAATAAAGTATATCAAGGGCAGAAACAAACTGGGATGATTATGTATTATTGTTTATTTCATTTCTATATTGCCCTGTAGCTGAGGTTCTCTGGGGAGTTTACAACAAAGCATAAAGCAGAACAATGCTAAACAGTACAAATGACAAAAAACAACTGTGTTGGAAAGAGTTAAAATTAAGTTACAATAACTTTAAATACAGTAAAATTCATTAAAAAGAACCAGCAAGAAAAATTACCAGGATAACCCCCTCAGGCGCCTGGATAACCTTTGAAGGCCTCCGCATAGAAAACTGTCTGACCTGACATCAAAAAGATTTCAAATTTGGCACCAGGCAGGCTGCAGCAGAGAGGTTGTTCCAAAGATGCGGGGAGGGGGGAGAGGCCACCACAGAAAAGGCCCTTCCCCCTAGTTGCCACCCTCCAAGCCTCTCATGGAGGTTGCACTTGAAGGAAGGCCCCAGAAGCTGAGCTTAATGTCTGGAATGTTTGCAACCCTCTAAACGCAGAGGATTATGGACCCCCACACCTTCTCTCCCTCCAAAACTTAGACAGCTAATTTCAGCAAAGTGTGGCCACCTGGAGCAGGAGGGGAGGAGTCTGAGAGATCTCCCTGCAGGACATCCACTTTGAAGTTGCATTTGCGACCTCAGAGAAGCAGCCAGCATGGATCTTTCAGCACTGGCTGTGGGTGGACAGAGACCTCTCCAGCACCGGAGCCCCAGTTCTGCTGTCAGAGAAAGTTCCTGAGCTTGGGGCTGGGATTCCAAGCAATCCAGTAGCTGTCTAGGCACTGTCATGTGACCTGAGGTTTGCACTGTAAGATAACTCTGTTGCAGCAGTTAGCTTTGGCCAGGTGAGAACTGACACTACCAAGCCAACCTGAGCATGCAACAATTGTTTATTAAATAACAGCAACAACTTTTGCCCCAGTGCCCCTGGGCAGCAGTCTGACTACAAACACCTTCCTTGGCACTCACCAGGGTCCTTGCTCCTCCTGATTTTCATTATTTTTAAACTGGAAGACTGGCATGATGCAAATTGAAAGGCTGCTATCTAGCACCATCTTAGTCTGGGCGCAAATGAGTGATCTTGCATTTTGGAGCTCAGGCCCCCTGCCTCTGGCTTGTACTTGTGGAAGCTGCTTCCCTTTAAGCCTTACCAATTTGACCTTCCGGGAAGTTAGGGCCCATGCTGGCTGGAATGGACCTTTTATGAATAAGCACGCCCCATTGCCACTTAGTGAGAGCCCCTAGAACCAGAACAGGAAAAGGCTGCTCTTGGGTTCCCTGCAACCCCAGCTTTATTTAATTATTTTTTATCAATTGTTGCAGCATTTATATCGTGTCCTTCCATGGAAGCGCTCATATATAATACATAATGTAAAATTATGAAATACAATATTAAAACTACAATTATTCAAATAGCCAAAATTGAACATTATGAACATTAAGTAAAAACATTATGAACATTATGAATTAAGGAAAAAATAGGGAAAAAAATAGAAAGTGTGACTGAAACAAAAAGTACAAAATATCTTAAAATGTCGAAACCCCATTAATTGTTAAAACGATGGTTAAATAAAAAGGTCTTTACCCGGTTCTGGAAAGAGTATAACGTCAGCGCCAGGCAGACCTCTCTGGGGAGCGCATTCCATAGTCTGGGCGCCATGGTGGACAAGGCTCTTCTTCAGGTAGACACCCTCGGAACTTCCTTCAAGGAGGGTTCCCAGAGCAAGGCCTCCCCCGCTGATCTTAAGGGGCGTGAGGGCAGATAGGGAAGCAGGCGGTCTTTCCTTCCCGCTGTCCTCACCGCTCCACCTCTCCAGCTGTCTAGTCACTTACGAAACCCCACCCTCCGTGCCACCTTAGGAACAAAGGCCCATCATAGTGAAGCTCCACCGTCCATTTCCTCCCTTCTTCATTCAAATTCACCAGCATGCAAGATGCAGCAATGCCTCCTTTGGCCACAGATGAGATCTGGACCAAGGCAAGGATGCCCAGAATTCAGTGGCAGGGGGAAGATGGGGGTTGCTCGCTTTTTGCTTAGCCTTAGTCGAAAGATGGCTCTGACCACGGCATCAACAGATCAAAAGGAGTGTCTAGACTGCTTTTATATCATGACACAGTGCAGCTACTTTATATACAACAGTCAAAATGTTCTGCTCTAGGGAGAATTTGCCTTCAACCGTAAGTCATAAACAAAATGTAAAAAAACACCTTATTTATAAGCACCAGTGAAGATGCTAAATTTCTGGATTGCTGCCTCCTCCTCCTCCAGAAAGCTCTTCAGTTCTGGTTTGTATGCATCACCACTGTTGTGGTCAAATTCACAGGGTGCTGAATCATTAAAAACATGAAACAAATACCCACTGCAGGTAGAAATGCCTGTGATGTTTGCTTAGGGGCTGATTCACACAACCAAGTCTATCACTTGATGATTCATCACAGGATGGCTTGCAGTGGAGATGTGAATGGCTCTCAGTGCAAGCTATCATGTTTGAGGTAGCATAAAACCTCTGTCAACAGCATTTGACCTATGATGGATGACTTGATGTGCATGTGTGAATTCATCCTTACATTCTTGCATATTAGTCTGACGCATGACTAGAGTGAAGTGCTTAGCAGCAGCACCATGCTGTGAAGCTTGATGCCGCACTAATGAAGCAATGTGCTGCAGGAATGCGGATGGCGATAAGAAGTATGGGTCGCCATGCAACAGTCTCAGCTTGGATCCCCTTCCTCCGTAAGCAGTGGAAGTTTGACTGAAACTGCTCTGAAGGAGTATGACTGAAGAGTCAGAGATTTTCATTAGCAACCCTAAGCTTTGGGACAAAGCTTATTTGGATTTGTGATAAGCTCCGTTTGTGTTTAACCAAAAATCAACCGTTTCCTTTTACTGCTCTTTGTAATCTAGGCTAATTTCTCTACAATGGATTGCAAATCGGGGAACCCATTTTTCTAGACTCCTTTGACCATGCTAGGTTTGAAAATGATCGTTCTTAAGATGATTCTGAATGAGAAAGCCTGGAATTTAAGCTGGTATCAAGGTGGTGGGTTGAGCCAATGTGCCATGTTTTTGTAGTTGCATAAGGCTGTGAAAGAAGCAGTCAACAACTGAATCATGGGTCCAAGGTGTCTACAAAATTAATATGCTGATGAAACCACCTGCACTCTAATGGTAACAACAAAGTAATGGAGAATTAAAGGTATGAGAGATGCACACACAAGCAGGAGCCATTTTCTGAGGGAATTTAGAATGCATAGATCTGAGATAACTGCTGAAGTAGAAACAAAAAAAATGGATTTCCACGGACTCATGTTATTTGGGGCCATACAAATACACCGTATTC